CCTCAATGATAAGAATTATACAGTCCATGTATTGACTACTGACGTTTCCCCACGCCATGCCACTCTCCTTACAGTATGTTAGGGTATGACTAGTTCTGAGCATTGGTACTTTAATTATTTTACATTTCACATCATCAGACAGCAGGGCTTTCTACAGAGAATCGCTTGTGATTTCATACTAAAGACCTCACTTATCTGCTTGTCTCTTTTCCACCCTCATCACTCATTGTCAATCAGTCTCTTGGCTGCACAGCTGCTTTTTGGGTAGCAGGCTGAGGCTGGGCCAAAGGAAGTTGAGACATAACATCTGGCCGGGATGTGTGCTGAACACTGGGCTACGTTGAACTCCCAGTCGGAAGGGAGGAACACACTGGGCTGAATGCCCGCACATGCAGGGACCACTTGCTCTCCTTTTGACACTCAGTGGCTTTGTGGACACGTTTTCCACAAAGCACTTAATGATTCGGCAATCTGGCACCTGATGGTCTATAGGCTGAATTATAAAGCACTTTGTCACCTGGCCAGGGTACATAATGTGGTCACTATAGGGCTATTTGGAAATGGGGTTTGGTGCTCCAGTGAGTTAGTACCTTTGCACAGACTTACTTACTTTGCACGTCCTCACTCCATACCATACTTGTCCACTGGCTTAATGGGTATGTCACAATAGCATTTTAGATCAAGCTGAACATCATTGTTAGAGAGACCTTTCCAGCGTTTAGCAAAAAAAAAAACATCTTCACAACTATTTCTTTTAAGAACTCTACTGACTGCAGAAAGTTCCCTGATGTAAATAGAACTGAAATCTAAAAAAAGAGCAAATATAATGCACACTAATCAAACAAAACTGCAACAGCAGCAACACATTCATACTGTACCTCACTTTGACTCATTAGTTTTGGTCTTAAGCAGAAATAGCTAAATGTGGAGCTGTTCTCTTTGATGGAGCCACAATGACTTCATGTCAAAGAGCAGAGCAGGAGACTCTGACATGAACATTAACTTTCTCTACTTGTCTCTTCTGCTCATCTTTACTATTGTTCACTTACTGTCAGTTACCATGACGGTAGCGTTAGAAACTCCCAGAAAAGACCACCAGAAACCATCATCATTCATGAATGTTGATTTGACTAAATACTCCCATTTTACCTTGTCTTGACTCTGTGCTAAAAGGATAAATAAGGATACATTTTATCCTCAAGAGCTAGAGTCAGTGTTTTATGTCCTCAAGCAGAAGCAACCCCCGCAAAGTCTCAGTGTACAATGACAGTTTTGCCTCTAACCTTAACAAGGAGACTGCTTTTTTATTCTGTTGGTTTGATAAACATAGGAAAAAGAACAGCCAGTACAAGCGTCCCATTACACAAAAACCTGGCAGAGTGCCAAAATAGGCCAATCATACCATTGTGAAATATAGCTTTGCACTGATAATATTCAAATGACTCCCACAAACAACTGGTGCTCAGAGATGGTGGTCATTGGATGCTTAATGGCTGTGTTTGCGGCAAGTCCAAGACAGCAGCGTATGGCTAATGAGGGACAGAGTGATGCACGGCCAACTCTTTAGCAGTCGTGTCAGGGATGTTTTAATGGAGGGAGAGGGAATGGACATCCACTCAAGACAGGACAAGTCGGGAGAAAATGACCTAAAATAGCATTCCCATTCATTTATCCAGACTATTGTTTACTTGCACATCGCCAAATCTCTTCAGGCTGATTGAGTGGCATAGGAGCTCAACCACTTATCCAACTTAGGACCAGACATTCACGACTGTGTTCTTTTTTTGTCCCAAGCTCCAGCAGCCAGGAATAACTCTAAGAGAGGATCTTGACAGTGTGAATCCAACCTTATTTTCAGTCTGCTGTCAGGAAGCAGTCTGTCGCTCTGAGATGAAGAGTGACAGGGAGATGTGAATTCAATGGACTGCATTACTGTCTGGCTCAAATGATTATGATGACAGAAATGGAAATTAGGGTACTTTTCCTTTTGAAGAGGTCTCAGCGTGCGGATCTGACCATGCAGAGAATGGAAGAATTAAGGGTGGTGGAGTACAAATCGTAAATATTGATTTCCATCAGAATAGAGAGAAAGTCACTCTCAAGGGATCAGTCAGTTTCTGCTTTGAGGACTAGGAGGATATGCCTTTGAAAGAGACTGATGACATCTCAAATGAACAGTGATACTCTTCACAGGAGTCCCCAGGCAGCTGTGTAAACTCTGTCTATCTGGTCTGAAATAAATTAAATAGAAATAAATAAATTTGTTTGTAGTAATGCCAGACTAAATGTCTCTAACATTATGTTGAAGAGGTGAAAATATAATTGTCTATTTGGTAGTTTAGGAAACACATCTCTACCATTAATTGTTTCATTCATGATATAATCACTGATGGTTGACCATTAAAAGTGACTATTGATGTTAAATGGAAGTCTGGGACAATTTAGAGAGTTTCGCTGCTGTGGACCAAATCAAAATAATGTCAGTATAACCGTAAAAAAGCTTTTAGTAAACTTTTTAGTGGAAAAAAACTCTCTGTCATGGTGCAGTTATAGCAAAAATCGGCCTGCTATTAGGAAGATGGCTGCACATCCTCGGTCTGGTCAAGGGGCTCCATCGTCAAAGAGAGGATGACTCAAACTGTCAATAACACAGATTTAAGAGCAGCAGAAAGTGGTGTAGGGGGAAGAAAATAATTGAAAAATAATAATATAACATATTTTTTAGAGAATACACTAGTATTCACAAGGAAACTCAACATATTGTGTCCTGTTCTGTACACTGTACAATTCTGACACACAGAGAAACACAGAATAACATAGAACAGGACCAGACCCCAGCAGGCGTACAGACTGCATCCTACAAACCTAAAAAACATAAAATGAAGTTTTTCTTCCCAAACCAATGCATTACAGAACAGATTGCATCTTTTTGTTTTTTTTGTCAAAATGACATGTATTTCATCAGGGGCGGTAATTGTCTCAGTGGACTGCTGCCAAGAAAAACAATAGAACAATCCAAAATGGCAAATTATTGTTATGACTCAAACTGCAGCTGAGTTCCTATGGTAATTTCTCATTAGAAGCATGATGATTATTGATGATCTGTTACTTTAGTATATGTAATGAAGTCCTGCAGATGCTTTGGCCTCTCCGGCTTCTGGTTTATCTCTGTTATGTCTAATAATAAATGTCAGAATATACTGATTGTACTAGCCCAGCAATCTTTGATAATGTAATGTAATATGCCCAGTGGATTAAATGTACACTATGGTTGAAAACTCTTAATACATCCCCTGCCAAGGTTGAGATCCTTGCCTGACCACTTGAGATGAATCCCTTTCAAGTGACATTTAGAGTAAGATCAAGTCACTTTCATGGTCACTGGCTGAAGCACGTCATTAGCATTCAGCATGTGCACACTCTGGCTCTTACTACAAGCCCTCGACACGACTGCTACATGACTACAAAAGATGAATACAAATTGTCTTTATACAACATAAAAGTGAATGACTGATTCCCATAATTTATCTTGTGTACAGTGATGGTGCTGCAGATTGTACACAGTAACCCTGACCTTCTTACTGTACTTCAAGTTTGTATATTTGCATATAAACCTTGACTTCTCTCAGAAAAAACATCAAAAACTAGTGTGACGTGCAGGGACATCTGAGCGAGGTTACAGTATATCAGTATCTAGTATATATTTTTAAGAAGAAAATCTTTTTGCAGCCACGAGTTACAGACAGAGGCAATGGAAAATACAGTAAAATATGTATACATGGTCACCACTACCTTGTAAACTATGTAGAGTCACTCAATGGTGGTCAATGACATTCACAGCATCAGAATGCAAAAGAGAACGAGGGCTTAAATGAACAAACCCAGACACATGCAGGCTGGCAGACACATGGCCACTAAAAACACGAGTGAGGGCCAGTCTACACTTAGAAAGAAGTAAATATCTGATTAGCAGCATCTGTTATGAAATCAACAATGGTAGATGTATGCAGAAATTAGCATTAGTAGCACACAGCATCAGCCTCTCCTGTTCTGATCTCTCCTACAGGCCAGATCTACAGTGACACTGGGCCAACACTGCAGATATTCCTCTCACTAGTGTCAAAGTGACAGAAATCGACTGGGAGAAAGAGCGGTGGGAAAGTGGTGTCGATAGTTTCTTTCTTGATGAGGTGGTGAAATTCATGAGGCTTCATTTACACAATCCGACTCATAAAGATTTAAAGTACATTGTGTCTAGACTTTGATCTACAAAGTCCTTTTGGCAAATCTGACAAGGTTTTGGCTGTTCCTTTGCAAATTAGATCCATATTTATCTGATGCAAAACTTTATTAAACTTTATCTATCAATCTAAATCAAATGATCTTTATTGGCATTAGTGTTTATGTACATTATTGCTGAGCTCAATAACATATTGATGAATACTAGAGATATTCGTAGATATTATAAGGACTATGTCTTCAATCTGCTCAGGTGCACCACAGCGCCTCCAGGAGGAATCCATTGACATTACATACTCATTTTATTTTTTTTTAAATGAGTTGTCGGGATATAATCTCTCTTTTATACGTGTAATAGGTTTGCAGTCATTCAAAAACTTTAACGATAAAAAAAAAATTGTATCGAGGTGTAATGTTGGAATTTCAATAAAATAAAAAGTGATATGATTTAAAAACACCTAAAAAAAAAAAACGTACTTACACATTGATATTGATTACTCGCGTCCATGTGACGCTATTAACCACTAACGTCACTATTTGCCTACATCGGATGTTTTGTTTTTCTCATGTAGGAACTTTGGATTTGACACATTTCCTGACGGCGGACTGTGTTGGAAGGACACTCAACGCCGTCACTTCCTCCCCACGTGAATCGCTCCCCGTCCCGTACATGTGAGCAGCAGCGTCCACATCCACTCATCCACTCATCCACGGCGGGTTTCTCCACGGTTGAGGGCCGAAACAACACATATTCTCATCTTATGATCATCGATAGCAGGAGCATGGAGTCCGTAGAGGAGGAGGCGCTGCTCGGAGAGGAGTCCGAGGAGTCCGAGGAGGAGAACAGTGAACTATCAGACGATGAGGTGAGTGAACTGCTGATGTGCTAACGTTAGCCAGCCACAGAGAATAACTGAGAGAGAGATAAGATAGATAGGATAGATGATAGATTAGATAGATAGCTTAGATATATAGGATTTATTGATCCCAGCCGCTGGGGATACTGCAGTGTTAGCAGCATGATTACAGCACCCCAGTAAAACCCCAAAGTTAAATTTTTTTTAGAAGAACCAGGCAGGTATCCCAAAAAAGCCCATTTAAAAACTGGTATAAAATGTATAAATAAGCAGTATAATTGTAGTGCAAGTAAAAATATAAGGTGCAGTGAACAGATAAAACATATAAGGTGCTTGGAGACTGTATTATTATGACCAGAGGTTTAGCTGTTGTTGTACAGTGTGATGGCAATGTGGCAGTAAAGATTTCCTGTATCCTTTCCTAACTCTACTGTGCTGGACTCGGTGAAGGCTTTTTGTCGATGTGGTGATATGACTGAATTGGTGGAATTACAGTAGAATCTGTTACTTTTGTTTCCACATGTTGTGTTTGAGCGTCTGTAACCGTTTCTCTAAGCCATTTCTTGTGTTCCCTCAGCTTCAAGAAGCCTTTGCAAAGGGCTTGTTGAAACCAGGGATGAACATCCTGGTGGATAAACCCAAAAAGCTAGTCAACAATGTGGTGAGTAAATCTATAATCACTGACTTTACACGTCAATATTAGTGTCTAGATGTGGTGTAATTCTATCATAGCATGTTGTGAGTGTAAAACCATAAAATCTGATCTTGCGTATGTTGTGATGCAGGAGGGTATGAAACAGTGCCTTGCTGAGCTCCGTAAAGACCTGCCCTGGGTGGAGAGGTTGGACCTGACCAACCCGCCTGCTGAAGACGTCATTTTCAAAGCTGAAGGGAAAGCTCCGGCTGCGACCAATGGGGGCGTCAACGCGGATGATGATTTCCAGAGGGAGATGTTCTTGTGAGTTACCATAACTTGCACATTTGACAAAACAGTCTCACCACAAGTTCCACTGAGAAGCTTTTTTTTCATTTGCTCTTTCTCAGCAGATGGAGTTGTGGTGGAAACATAGATGCTTAAATGTATTTCTGAGCACTTTGAGGAGTTCTTCTACATTTTGGATTAAAAGTTTAGATTGAAAACTCATTTTTCTAACAATTTTTGGATGTCACTGTAATTGTTGTCAGTGTCATGTAAAAAAAAAAATGTCTATAGATAATTTTGTGTATTTCATGTTGTCTTAAACATACAAAATATGGTCACATTTATTTTGGTTTTGATGAGTGAAGAAGAGTAATAATTGATTTTGTGTGAAAAAGTACAGACACACATTAACCACGGTTGTATTGCAGGATCAGCTTACACTTTAGTAAAAAAGAAGTGTATCTATAAGTCCTTTTTTGTTCTGTGTTTGTTAACTTACAGCTACCGTCAAGCCCAAGCTACAGTCCTAGAGGCGCTGCCCCTCTTAAACAAACACGGCATCTCTACCAAGAGGCCTGATGATTACTTTGCAGAGATGGCAAAGTCAGACCAGCACATGCAGAAGGTGAGCAGTTTCCTCATGTATCTTGGTTGACTTCAAATCTGGACCAAACAAATTCAACTGTATTCTGTGTTTTTATTTCCTAAACTGAGAGAGGTGTACTGAATAGCTTGACGTCTGACCATAACACTTTCAGTAGATATGTTCTAACATTATTTTACGCATTATTTTGGATGATGGACCTTTGTTCCTTTCCTGAATTAAGGTCTAATCTGTGTCGGCACTTGACATTTCATCACTGGTTCAGTACAGTTGCTCTTTCTTCCTATCACACTTTGGCACAAACAAAAATGTGTTTTTCTTCCTCTGTCCAGATCAGGAAAAAGCTGATCTCAAAGCAGATGATACTGGAGAAGTCAGAGAAGGCCAAGAAACTGCGTGAGCAAAGGAAGTTTGGCAAAAAGGTTAGTGGCTACGGTTACTATTATTCTTATTGGATTCCTTTACCTTGTTAATTGGAAAGAAGCAGCACATATGGAGTAGTCTACTTTACTTCACTTAGTACAAGTGTTGTTTGTTCCCCTGTAAAAATACCATTTAACATGTAGTATATAGTTGCCTATTTATGTGAACTAGAGCTCTACCATTACACTGTTAATCACTGGTGTGTAATGAAAAGTAATACAAATGTCCCTCCTTTTGTGCGAAGAATTAACATGAATTTTAAATGTGTCCCAGGTCCAAGTAGAAGTGATCCAGAAGAGGCAGAAGGAGAAGAAAGCTATGATGACTGCTGTAAAGAAATACCAGAAAGGTGAGTTTTTTTGTGTGGCTTTATTCATTCTTCTTGATTTTTTTTTTAACAACTTTCACTGCAAATGTATTGTGCACTGGGGAAAAAGGGGAGCAAATTGCTCAATTACTGTTCCCCAAAGTAATTAATGTGTGAAAATGTTTTCAAATTGAGATTAAAGATTTCTGATCACTCCCCACTCCTAGGAATGACTGACAAACTGGATTTCTTGGAGGGAGACAAGAAGACGGGTAAAGACTCTTCTCAGGGTCCCAAAAAAGCAGTGACCAAGAAAGGGTACGGTGTTACATTTCAGCTGTGCACATTGCAAATCCTGAACATCAAGTGGAATATTTTCTACTCTTGATGTCTGTGGCATTTTCACAGAAAAGCTCAAATGTAACTGTTATTTGACAGCTCCAATGCCAAGAGGAAATACAAAGACCAGAAGTTTGGCTTCGGAGGCAAGAAGAGTGGGAAGAAGTGGAACACCAAGGAGAGCTACAATGATGTTTCTGGTTTCCGCGCCAAAGTGGCTCATGCAAAGAGCGGCAAAGGAGGAAAGAAAGGCAAAGGAGGAGGAGGAGGAGGAGGAGGGAAACAAAACGTGAGTCCCACACTCATAAAACACTGCTGACTGATTCAATAGACAATTTGTCAAATTGTGTATTAGAGTTACTGGTACAACAGTGTTCCCTGTACTGAATCTTTCCCTTCATTTGTTTTTCAGAAACGACCGGGCAAGTCTGTACGCAAGAAGATGAAGTCTCGCTCATAAAAACTGACAGAGGCTGGACTTGGATCTTGCTTCTAGGCGGGATTTCCTACACCTGCTCCCTCGGTCTCTCCTTCATGTACGTCAGGAGACATTTTGGAGAACTTTTCTTCTGTACTTTTTGTACAGTATGCCTTCTGTAAGATGTGATTGGATTCAAGCCACAAAGAGAGAGACGCCCTGCCATATTGCTAAGGAAGCCATTTGAAGGACATGACTGGTGAAGAAAAGGCTCAGAGTAAACGACAGAGCGACCCAGACCACCAAGTTGTTTTCCAAAAAAAACAGAATTTGAGTGTTACTTAAATGGCTTTTGTTATAGACCGGTTTTATGGTCTGTGGACAACAGTTTCTCTATATGTACCTATTTGGTAGGGTGATTTTAAAGCCACTTTCTGTAATTACACCACAGTATCTCCTCCAGCCTCCCTGCCGTCTAATATACAGCGCCTGCTCCTGGTCGGTGCCTTTTTGTTTTATTTTTTTCTAACTCAGTTTCTTGACACATTGATTCTCTCCCATGTGGCATGGCATTTTATAATATTGGACAGCTGTTCGTTTTGCCCTTTCCCATTCATTAATATGATTAGTATGTGATGGGCAAGTGTTCCTTGTATAGACCTGTGTGCAAAGGTTTCCCCTGCAACTGTTTTTCTTAGATTGCTAAGGTGCAAAAGGGCAGCTTCTGACGACGACACCTGTATGTTTGTATGATAAATAAAAATGTGAACATTGGTGCTCGTGTTTTGGAGGATTCACATTATTTCTGTATTGGTTTAGTTTGATGAACGCAGGGCACATTCTTTGTGTATGGTGACGTCCGTGCTGAACCGGTAGAAGTTGTATCTCATGTCATTGCGGTTCGATGGGATCTGGGGGAAAAAATAATGGATAGAATTAGAATTTGAGTAAGTCCTGCAAATAAAGGTTAAATGGCCATTACATGAGACCAAAAACGATGTTAATACTAACAGGGTTTCTGTTTAAATGTTTCCTTATAACCTAAGGAAAGCGCAGGTTTAGCATTGTTGGATTATGGGAATCATGTTTTATTTTTGGGGTCAAACCATTTTTGTGAAACAGAATCAAAACTGTTATTCACAAACACATTTGTGTAAAGCTCAATATCATTATAAGACTTATTTATGACAGCTTTATTACACTTAAATGTTCCAGTTGTATCAGTTTTGGTACTTTAAACAACCAGTTATAGACTGTCGGGATCTGCTGTCAGCTTTTTACTGGGATGTATTGTTGGTACCAAAATGCAATAATATGCAAACAGCTGTGTGCACAGATCCTGTCACGTGTCAAATAAAAACCTGTAACAATATGGAGTTAATTATGAAACACAAGAGATCAACCCATTTTCTCTGAGGTGACAGCGGAAAACTCTTGAGATACTAAAAACTAAATACTTAATATGAAAAAATCCTTACATATTTTACACCCAGGTTACTTTTTTATAACGTCTTCATATTCACTGTTTTGGCAATACACCTTTTTAATGAGCTCCATAAAGTGACATGGCACTTTTTTAGACTGTAAGATTTCAGGTTCATAGTTACACCTAAACGTAATTCGGGGACAGAAGGCTGTGTGCTTGAATTCAGCTCCTCCAGCTTACCTGCAGGCTCTGTGCACAATGCCTCCCTGATATCGGTCCTGCAGTCTGGTTATTAATTCTAAGCTTTTTTTTTTTGCTCACCAGTGGAGTTGATATCCATCCTATCTCCTGACTCTCAGTCTGAGGCATTTTATATTTCTTGGTGGGCTCCTGGCGGGCTTTGTGGAAGGCCTCAATGAAGTCGGCTGGAAAAGAGAAACTTTGCATCGTCAGTAACACAGGTGGCGTCACCCCGTTTGGGGTCACAGTGGGATGGTCACAGTGGGATGGTGTGTTTGACTGTTTCAGAACAGAAGAGAAACTTTATTTTTTCCCTCTTAAGTTTCAACAGATTCAATGTACACTTACAGTTTGCTGCAATCACTTCTGTCTGCTTCCTAGACATGGGTTTGTCTGGCAGGACGTGCACTAAGAGGCAGTGGAAAGACACACACACACACACACACACACACACACAGATTATGAGTAAATATACAATGCAAACAATCTATACACAGTTTAATGTAACAAGAGATACATTAGCAGACAGCCATAATAAAATGCCCAATGCTGTTTGAAAGCCATGAGTTTCCACTTATTGTAACTTAATACCCTTTTGTTCACATTTAAATCACAAGCAGTGCCTTTAATGGAGAAATAACGTTATTCCCAGTGAACTTTTCTTTTTCTAAAATGCTCCATGAGCTCTACAAACAATATGAAACAGTCCTCAGGTTTTCTGTGAGAGGTGTCTGTGTCTCCTTTGGAGCTATTTATACCTGTCGCTAAAGGAGGGATGACAGACTGCCGTTTGTTTAACTTACATTTCCTGCATGGATTGATGTTGAACTCCGTGTGGAGTTTCTGGTGTCTCTGCTCTTTCCGGATCGTCTCGACGTGAATCGCGTTTTGATGAACCAAATCCACTTTCTGGTTTCCTGACATGTTTAAAAAAAAAAAAAA